ATGTGTAAAACGGAATCATAATTCGATTTTTTCATAGTTTTCTAACATGTAAACTTCATGATTGTAGCACTGTGAAAGAGGATTCATGTCGAAATTCTCTGCCATGGAGATTTATAATGAATCGGTAAGAGGCCTTCTCAGCACACAGTATTTCACTCAGACTTCTTGATGATCCAGAGGTATAAAGTTGGCAAAATTTGAATCCTTTAATTAGTTTAGCTATAAATACTGGTTCTAATTCTGATTCTATAACAGAGAAGAACTGTGGTTGAGAAACTTTAAGAGGCGACTTTAAGAGATTCGGACCATCTAATGGAACTCCTCGCCATTTGTGAAGAGCAATTACAATAGGCATATTTGACAGGTTTGACTCGATAAAACTAGAAGTATGGACTTAATATGTCAACCCTATACATCAGGATGACATTTCGAATTTAACTATTTAGTATTACATTCCTGTAGCTCAAAGACAAATAGGAGACACCAATCTTAATGAAATGAGCTCAAGATCTCACCAAATTCTGTGCTTGGTAGGTTTCTTAGTTTAAAAATAGGTTTTGGATAAACACTATTGATATGATTTCTACGCACTAATGGACGCGATTGGTCAATAGAATAGACTATTTAAAGTATACTTTGTTCCTTAATGATGTACAATCCTATCTAATATTCTGAACTGAACAGCTTATGGGAAATGATTATAATATGTATTTACTTTCCCATACAATGGATGTTCCTGCAGACTGTTGACAGTTCTGCTTGGGAGTATTTAGGTGCCGCAAATTCAAGCGCACTAACAGCTTCAGTGGTATGAAACATTCTGTAAGGAATTATGTAGGACTTAAACATTTCTCCTTTCGACTCTGATGAATATTTGTCCAAAAATGGCCTGATAAACTTATATGATGCAAGAAAATGTATGACTGTTTGGGATAGCTTGTGGAAGAGCATCTTGAGGAAGCCCCCATGGGTGAACTTCCTCAGAAAGCTTTTCTAATCAAACCAAAAACTTTCAGAAAATTACTAAAACAAATCTGGTAATAGCATTTTTAGTTTCTCTAGTAACGTTTTGCTTTTCAAAAGCCAAGCCAAACGAGCAAGTAAATTATTTCATGGATTTCCAACAGAATTTTATTGATCTTGCCGGAAGTGAATGTGCTTCATAAACATTATCAGCTGGCACTAAGGGTGTAAGTTGTCCGATTTTTGACAAATTTTCAAACCAAACCGTTTAAACTGATTTGAGAAAAATCCAAGTCTAAACCAAACCATTTTGAACATTTCTAAAAAAACTAAAACCTAAACCTAACGATTTAATCCGGTTTTAAACCGTTGGTTTCACCATATATTTTTTTGTCTGTCTACTTTTATGTCATTAATTCAATATATATTTATATCTAATTAGCAATAAATCTAAAACAAACTAAGTTTCTGTTTGAACAAAATTTTTGGGACAAAAAAATGAAAATTTGGATCGTTATCCCACAAGTCCAGTAGCTTTTGTTGACCTGCTGTTTCATATGTGGGACCTTGCTTCCTCTCCAACAGGCAATTTTCTCATTATGATGATATGAAAAATATGGTTCAAACAAGGGGCTAAATATATCTACTATAAATTTAAATATCAACTAATTCAAAGTGAAATCACAATAAATTAAGGCATAATTTTTTTTCATTTTTTGTTCACATTTTTTAGGCTAATAACAATACAATAACGATACAATACAAGTTTACGAAATTAGATAAAGGTCTAAAAGACATAATAATGTCCAATAAGACCATGTGATTATCATATCTGAAAAAAAAGGATACTAATTAGACAAAGAAAATAACCAATCACAATAATAAAACAATTGTTTAAAATATCTAAACATAACAATTACACAAGTTTACGTTTGTATGATATTACGAAACACATTTAATTTCAGATTCTTACCTTAATTTACTTCAAAAAAATTATTGATTTGAAACTTTATTCGTAGCAAATATTATCATCAAATGTGTAGGATCTCTTTGTATCCGATTCGGTATAATGAACTTTAATTCAACTTTGAAGAGACGTGAAAAATCTAAAAAGAAGTGTGTGGTGCCAGTAGCTCAAAACTGTGTTAGATGTCGGCTAAAGTTAATCTAAATTCTGAAGGGGAAAAAGGCTTTTGATATATTATATTAGTTTTGAGATTATTAGATATAAATTAGGATTATTAGATAATAATAATATATCTGTATTAAAAAATTAGAAATTGACAAAAATACCTACAAATGACAAAACTATTGAATTTTACATATTTGGATGAATTTTCAAAATTTTTCATTTTTTCATTTTTTTTATTTTTATATATTTTTTCGCCAGTCTAATTTGATTTTAAGCCCCCATTTGATTCTCATTATTTGTCCATTAAAATGAAAAATGTGACCGTTATCCATCACATTAAGCCACCACATTTGACTTTCTATCTTTTGTGTGGAATCCGTAACGGCTATATTTTTCATTCTCATTTTTACATTAATATATATCAAATGGGGTCTAAACTGCAATTACAATTATCAAACCTAAACAAAACCATTTTGATCGGTTTGATTTGGTTCAAAACTATTTCATTGACTGGATCCACGTGGCACTAAACCGACGATTTCTAAAATGCGATTTCGGTTCAATTTTCCGATTTGACGATTTTTGCTTATAGACCTAGCTGACACCGGACTAAAAGAAGGTTGCCACATAAATTGCAGTTTGCTAACCCCTTGGGACAGTTATTCGTAAATTAAGGTTTGTCGACTTTTACTTCCTAAGCTCCCGTTTGGCCGCCATTAAATTACATTCCATTACATTCTATTTTTCTCTCTCTTATTTTCAAATACATAATCTTCTATAAAATAATATTACACGTAAATCGAAAATTTTTCCTTCTTTTTCAACCTCTTATTTTTCAAAAACATACTATTTCTCCCATTTTCATTACCGAAAGGGGCTAAATTTTCTACTTGTGTTAAACATGATCAGTTAGCAGTTCCACCTAT